CTAGCCATCTGCATGTATTCAGCACTGCCATCACCACCACAACCACCACCTTTGTGATCATCATCATCATCATCATCAGCACCATCATCCTTGATGCCTCACTTTTACCCTGTAGATCCGAATATTGTCGCTTTTTTTGAAACAAATTCGGATTTAGAGGGGGAAAGGTTGGGTATTTCAATGCCTCCCACCGATGAGCTGCGATGAGGCTGTTTCACAAAGTAGATTGCACGCACATTGCTGGATGGAGCAGCAGACTTTACTTGGCAAAACTTGGCAATGTTTAACACCAAGCAAACAAACAGTAGATCTGTAGGCAGAAAAAAGCAGTAATTTTTTAAATGTTGCAAATCGATGCACACTGGACACAGAGCAGTGAATGAAGCCGTGATTGTGTATGTGCTAGTGAATGTGTTTGTATGTGTTTATGTCTTTTTGTCAGGCGACAGACCATTTTGCTATCGATTTGCTGCCGACACGCGTATTGAGTGTTTGGTGTTTGGTCTGGCAATGCTTTATAATGGTGTAGGCCAATATGGCTGTTCACGCGTGGCCATTCATCTTATTGTAAAATTCATTACCAAGCAAGTCATTAGTCGACGAAGTGCTCGCGCGAGAATCGTCATTAGTGCCTCGCCGCGCTGCACCAAGGCAACAACACTTGTGGGAAGAAGAGCAAAGCAGAGCAGAACAGTGAGAGACGCCACTGTTCGGTTCGGTTCGGTTGAAGAACAGTAATGACACTACTGTGCACTTGTTTGCTTCCACTTTTTACTAATGCAAATGAAAATTGGAGCATCATCAAGTGCGCGGGCCATTACCATTGACTACTTGATATACCGTCTCAGTGTCTTCGGCAGTGCTGACGGTGCCACAGCTCGCCCGTTCGTCAATTTATCACCGAAACGTGTTGAGATGCATTCACAGGCAAATTGAATTATGCTTTGAATTAATAATGTCTTAATGAGAGCAGGCACAATTAGCACTACTAATTGACTGTATGGGAGTGTGAAGTAATGTTCTGTGGTAATGGCAGTAGTCGTAGTAGAGTGGCGGTGTAGCTGCTGGTGATGTAGCGGTGTAAATGTTGTCTGTCGATCCAGAGCCGGCCAGTGCGACGACCGCAGCTTGAATAATATCTCAGATCGTTTAGCGAACTCTCACTGTTATCTCCATCTCCCATTGCGCTGGTTGCAATAAATATCGCTTTCGCGCGAGCTAGCCCATTAGTCAGACAGACAGACACTGTTGATACAGTGCACCAGCACTCTTTCTTTCTCTTCATTCGTCTGTACACCATTGAAACGCTGTTTAATTAGAAGCTTAAAATAATTAAAAGGCAATTAATTTGATTGATGTGAGCGCAAGTTGCTCGCGCCTCTGTGCCGCACAGTACCACTATCTCTCTTGTATGGAGTGTTTGGGCGCCATGAACACCACCAGAGTGTAAGTTTGTGCTCTTTCTTTTCTTCTCCCTCCCTGTGGCAGACGATCTGTCGGCCAGAGGCTTTTCTTGAGCACCCACTGCACTGCACATTTAATGCTGATCATCAAATTAGTAGCATTGTCAATCAGTAGCACTGTCACCTGACACCATAGTGCACTGACTGCTGTTGCTGCTCAGTCTTTGTCACTCTGATGAAGGACTATCTGAGGACAACTGCAGTGCCTTCTTCTTTTCTTCATTTGCTACCATCGACGATGAGTTTTAAAAAGTGCTGAGTCTTGCTGTCGTCGTATGCTCTCTGTCGGTCCTTCACAGCTGCTGCTACTGCTGTCGCTGGTGCCTAGAAAAAATCTTCGGGTTGCTGAGTTCACACAGAGTTAAGCAAAAGTCTGTAATTGCTATTCAAGGCATTTTTCAGTGGTGGATACCATTGGAATGAGTTTGTGTCTACTGAGAGCAATTCTTTGTTGTTTACACTTGGCTCGCGACCATCGGGGAACTTGCGGTACATTTCACTCATCGGCAGATTACGACGGCACTCTTCAGCAGTGATCCAACAATGTGTGGTCAACAGTTCGCAGTGCGGCATGCCGAGACACATGCAGATTCTCTCTGATAATCTTTGTTTTGCCAGTGCCGATGGTGGCCATGTGGCGACTCTCAAGACGCTACTGCCACTAGTCGCTAATTACCTCTCGAGGGAGCAATTCAGTCGGCTTAGCACTGTGCAAAAAATAAACATTTCAATAAGCACTGTATGACTGCCAGTAAGAGAACAATGGATTATTGGCACCGTGTGGATCTTAGAGTTCTAGTTGAGCCCAAACTTGGGCGCCTGCCTAGGGCTGCAGACTGGGTCCCCCCAGAGGATCAGCAGCAAGTCCAATGTGTACGTCTTTGTATTCGTCTCTCTCTCTCTCTCTTNTCAAACTTGGGCGCCTGCCTAGGGCTTCAGATTGGGTCCCCCCAGAGGATCAGCAGCAAGTCCAATGTGTACGTCTTTGTATTCGTCTCTCTCTCTCTCTTTCTTTCTCTTCGTGCTGTGCTCGTTCAGTGCTCATCTCCTTCCTTGCTCTTCACCTCTCCTTCACCACCGACTGTGTCCGCTGTGTTGGTGTAGCGGCGTCGCCGTCTGAGCGCAGTCTCGGTGGTGGCCAGCAATGCCGCCAGCAGCGAGGACTTCGAGGATTGTGGCGGCAGAGCGCACAGTGGCGATCCCTGAACACAGGCAGGACTGGCGGCACAGTGGAAGGTGGCGAGGTGGAGAGAAGTGGGTGTAGACTTGCGTTGAAGTCGTTGCGAGCAATTCATCACTGTCAGAGAGACTTGTCGACTCTGGAAGCCCGCTCGGTCAGCGCGTTCTCCACGCTGGTTGGTTCCCGCTCCTGTCACGTGCGTCCTGCAAAAAACGCACTAGGGTGGAGCCTGCCGTCGAGTCGGCTGGAGACGAAATTGAAGACGAAAACGACTGGAGAGAGGAATTATTTGAGCATCGAAATTCACCTCAAAAATTATTAATGGTGTGTGATGGTCATGAGTTCCTCGTTTTTGATGAACTCTTCGCCGGCGGCTTACCCAACGGGTGCCGTCGACCCAAAGTTCCCTCCGACGGAAGAATATTCTCAAGGCAACTACATTCCCGACTACTACGGGACGAATGTGCAGTCGCTGGGCAGTCAGCCGCACCACCTCTCGCACCACCACCCGAACCCGCACCACCCCTATGGCGCCTACCACCACCACCTCAACTACATTGACCAGAGCTCGGTGCAGTCGCACCCCTACCACCATGCCCACACCGCAGCCATCCACCCATCGCACCACGTCCACCAGCACGTCGGCGGCGCCGGGGGCCTCGGCGGCGCTGGGGCCGGCTCTCTGGCCGCCGCCCAGCAGCACCAGTACTTCTCGCCCTGCTCCATGTCGCCCATGGGCCCCGGGCCGACGGCTGGCGGCGCCGGCGGAGGGCCGCTGGTGGGCAGCCACCCCTCTCAGCTGACTGGCCACCATCCGCTGGGCAACAGCGGAGTGGTGCCGAACAACGCCATCTCGCCACATCACCAGTCGCCCCTTGCTCCCAACCAAATGCCACATCTCTCCTCAAGGGTCTCAAGTCCACTGCTCCCCCGAACGCCCTCACCTCACCAGGCCAACAGTCTGGGCCTGGATCCACCTTCGCCCGGTGACTGCGGCGTCTCAACGCACTCCGGCAGCGACTCGGGCACCGGCAATGGCAATGGACATCCAGTGATATATCCGTGGATGAAGAAGGTGCACGTCAACCAAGGCAAAGGTAAATACGAACAACACGTAACATAAACACTGACACAACACACAGACAGTTTTATATTTTAGAGAAGGAGCTTGTTGGTAGTGTAGACCGCACACGAGGTACGACGAACTGCCTCTCAATTTGTCGATCCTTGCAACAGATAGCGACTTTGATTTGTCCCCAGAGCTGCCGAGTCAGTGTCATCGGCGTTATCGAGCTTGTCTCGCCAATTGCCAAGTTGACAGCTTTGTGCTCCGAGAGTGCTTCCTCTACCTCTGTGAGCTTCCCTCAGACAGAGGGAGAGGAAAGACAAGTGGCGAGCAATTGGCAATAAATCACAACGGCACCAGTCGGTGATTGAAGTCAACTGCCACGTGCTTTGCACCACAGCTCATTCTCGTGAGCACCTTGACGGGGAATTAACAGCAACAAAAGAAAAAACCTTAACTGATCGAAATTCTGTAGCTATTTTATTAGTGTCGTACTCGGAAAGTTTTTTTTGTGCATTAGGTAACTGACAGGAACACTATTCACTTCCACTACACTACCAATGCACTATTAATGTTTCATTTTATAGCCTAATTAACGTGTTGTTTTCTTTTTCATTACGCAGCTGTGCAAAATGGAAGCAATAACTTTACGGGAATGGAGCCGAAGCGGCAACGCACCGCGTACACACGCCACCAAATACTTGAACTGGAGAAGGAGTTTCACTTTAATCGCTACTTAACACGTCGCAGACGAATTGAAATTGCACATTCCCTGTGTCTCAGTGAACGACAAATCAAAATATGGTTCCAGAACAGACGGATGAAGTGGAAAAAGGACAACAAACTGCCCAACACAAAGAATGTGAAAAAGAAAAATCCCCAGAATCAGCAGAACCAGCAGAACCAGCAGAATCAAGCATCCGGCCAGCAAAGTCAGCAGCCGTCGCAGCAATCTCAACAGTCCAGTGGCAATAATCACGATCTAAGTCAGCTTGGCTTGCCCAGTCAAGCATCCATGCTAAACAACGACCTCAAGACAGAGGGCCCACCATACGGGCTCACTGAGTTGTAGTGCCCTCAGTGGCCATTGCCAGGGGTGGCTGGTGGGCGACAGTGGCCACCACTCGCTGCAACCTCACATCAAACTACACACGGAACACAACTCAACATTTGCACCCCCATTGAGGTCGTCCATTTTAATGAAGTACTGTCTTGTCGGGGAACATCGTTGACCATCAGCACCACCACCATCAGCACCATCACCCCCACCTCCACTATCATCACCTCTTTGTCGACAGCCTAGCTCATTGTGCAAATTGAACCATTCTCACACTTCATCTGTTCATTGCATTGTTTTACTCTTCTTCGTCTCCCTCTTCTCAAACAAGTCACTCAATTTCAGTAATGAGCGAGTTGTGACTTGCCACGCTCACAAACCAAACGAATAGCACTGCTGAAGAACTCTAACCATCTTCAGCATGTGCTCACACATACGTTAATGACACCCACTGATGTCCACTGACGCTGTTCACTCGGTGTGTTTTGTCAACTGTGTCTGTTTATTCAGTGTGCCACCAGTGTTTCACTGCTGATGAAAGCAAATCAACGCCACTACCATCACAGCATCATCAGCCACCCTTGTTTTGGTCGTCGTCAGCCCCAAAGTCCACCCCATCAGGTTTTTGGTTTTGTCACCGAATCAACCAGCCGCTTATTTGTACGTCTCAAGCTGCGGTTGTCGTTGAGAGCACTGCGTACACAAAACGACGACTTGCAGTTGGCTTGCTGCTGCAACTTCTTCTTTTGGTGACTGTCAGAACATGACTCGTCGTGACATTTTCAGTCTCAATGCTGTCGGTGCTGTTCAGTCACAGAGAGAAAGGGAGAAAGAAAAAGACAAACAAACAGCAGTGTGTGACAGACCAGTCTGGAGTGTTTCTGTGAACAAGTTGAACAGGCAGCATCTCTGGGCATCACCTCCATCACAGCAACAACTCTTGGCGGTGATGTCAGCTGGCCATGGAGCCATTAACATTCCAGCATCACCACTACCATCGCTATCCCCACCACCACCACCACAACTCAGCTCACTTCAGTCCATGTTTCAGCAAACCAATAGATCTATATTGAATTTTATTTGTACATTGAATTCTTTTTCATTCAGCATAGAGTATTTTAATAAATGCCCATTCGATGTCTGTCAAAATGTGCCCCCATATGTGCTCCAACGATTCGCCACGGCTAGGTAAAGGAGAAAGACCAACACCAGCAACAACAACAATCAGTAGGAGTAGTAGTCATTGAGAGATAAGCAACCACTACAGAGCAGCAGTCAGATAACTCAATTGTGCACTGGAAAATATAAAGTCGCTGATTGCCATTGGCCGATCAATCAACATCGATCATCGGTGTGATCACCGCCACTGACTCCTCTACGTCTTCCTGCCATATAGGGGACAGGCTAACTATGCAATCGGCCTGATGGGGCCAAGATTGAGACCAACCAAGATGAGCTTTGACAATGGCAACTACTGCACCAGCACCAGCAACAACAACAACTATAATACAGCTATGTGCGGCACCTCAGTACCTGCTCAGTTTGAATCTCTTCATTTGCTTGCCCTGATTGACCTGTGGCCTGCCAACTGGCTACTTCAATGACCTACTGCTTACTATCACCAGTGCAATTGAGACATGAAGTGACTGAACCACTGAAATGATCCCCTCATTAAAGAGTGCTGCTGCAGCAGTCGTATTGGCCATTTCCATCACCTCCACCTAGTTAAACTAGCAAGATTTTGGCCAATAAAACCGTTGAACCTTTGGCAGCATCCGCATTGTCAAACCGACCTGATGGTCAGCCGTTGCACACTGCTGAAAGCATCCCCAGAGGCAATGTTTTCTTTCTTTGCTTCTGCTGTTGNTTTGAATCTCTTCATTTGCTTGCCCTGATTGACCTGTGGCCTGCCAACTGGCTACTTCAATGACCTACTGCTTACTATCACCAGTGCAATTGAGACATGAAGTGACTGAACCACTGAAATGATCCCCTCATTAAAGAGTGCTGCTGCAGCAGTCGTATTGGCCATTTCCATCACCTCCACCTAGTTAAACTAGCAAGATTTTGGCCAATAAAACCGTTGAACCTTTGGCAGCATCCGCATTGTCAAACCGACCTGATGGTCAGCCGTTGCACACTGCTGAAAGCATCCCCAGAGGCAATGTTTTCTTTCTTTGCTTCTGCTGTTGATGATGGCGGCCACAACGAGTGGCAAAATGGCCACTGGCTCTACGCTCAACGAAGCAACTCGCTGTTTGCCTGTCCGAAGAGAGCAGCAAGAAACGACTGGCTGGCTGGCAGGCTGGTTTTTGCTGGAGTTTGGCGCGCGCGCCGGGCTTACAACGAAAGCATTACGTCCGGCCGACTAGATCGGGCGGTAATGTATGCAAAGTAATGCTATTCCAATGGGAAGAAATGCATCGAAAGGGAGAGAGAGAGCCCCGGTGCAAAAGAAATTTCCATCGGCGTACCAGCACTCTCCCTGTCAGTCGGCGAGGAATAGCAATTAATGCTACCCAGTGAACACATGCACATGAACACACTCACACATCCTCGTGCAGAGCACTATCATCAGTAGGACTGATCAGCACAGCGACGACTCCTTGATTCCAACTAGGCTGCTGTGAACACACAGAGAGAAATTGTCTAAGCAAGTCTCTTCACCGAAGACCACTTTTCCTCTACTTTTTCTTATTTTTCCTCTTCTTCCATCTTCTCCTTCTCTTTTGCCTGCGCACAGTGACACTGTCTATATTTATCCCCAAACTAGCCAGTTGCCATAGCCGATGGTCAAACGATTGCAATTGTCATTGTTGATCATTGTTGGAAGCAATGGCGCGTCAATGTTGGTCAATTCTCCCCCTCAGGGCCGTCTCTTTTTCTAACATNATGACACTGTCTATATTTATCCCCAAACTAGCCAGTTGCCATAGCCGATGGTCATTGCAATTGTCATTGTTGATCATTGTTGGAAGCAATGGCGCGTCAATGTTGGTCAATTCTCCCCCTCAGGGCCGTCTCTTTTTCTAACATCTCAAACAATGGCGACACAAAAAGGTGGCCCTACCTATCTCAGCGGTTAACTACTACTCTCAGTCCTTGCGAACACCGTCTTCACTGACCACCAAAACTCCAATTGGGCTTTTTCTGGTCTCCCCTATTTATTGCCCGTAGCTCATTTACCAGCAACATAGTTCTTTTTTCTAGGTTTAATTTATTGTCCTCTTCTCTTCTCATTGTACATACATCCATTTCTACTTCTGTACGGTAGCGCTCCAGTGGTCCGTCTGATCGGCTGCATACGGCTGTGCATAAGCAGAACTAGGAACTGTGGCAACGGGCGTTCCAAGTTGTCCTGTTGACCTTTGTTTTTGCACTACTGTAAACCCAGCTAGACCCAGTTAGACCCAAGCGATGGCATCTTTCTTCTCTTTCCACTTTCTAAAAATATNTGCTGCATACGGCTGTGCATAAGCAGAACTAGGAACTGTGGCAACGGGCAACGGGCGTTCCAAGTTGTCCTGTTGACCTTTGTTTTTGCACTACTGTAAACCCAGCTAGACCCAGTTAGACCCAAGCGATGGCATCTTTCTTCTCTTTCCACTTTCTAAAAATATTCACTTTGTAACTAACTACACGAGCAAAAACCTTTTCCTCTTTAACACTGTGCAACCCGATTCATTTGGCGATAAATAAACGTTTTTGTTCCGTTAATATAGCTATTATTAAATTAAAATAATTGAATTGAATTACTATTTGTAATAAGTTGCTGCTAATTACTTTTATTCGTGCTCGGTTTTACATAAATATTATATAAACTGAGACAAGGTTGACCAAATGATTAGTTGGTGCTGCGCGATCGATAGTGACCCTAAATGAAATAAAAGCTTCTTTTGACTACTATTATTAATTAACCTGCCATCTAAAAGGGGCTTTCACTCTCTGTCAATGGTAGTCTGACATGCAACTTCATACACACACTGTCGCACTAGTGCTAATCGAATCGCACCTTTTGAGAAACCCAAGAATAGAAGCAGATTTGTACTGTTTACACTGCACATGGCCACTTTAGAAAATGGCATCACTTGTGAGGACTGTGTGTCAGACTGCCATTGTCAAGTGAGTGGTTTTCAGCACCAGATTGTTGTCCCCATCACCAGCATTGGTTTCGGTATAGGCCGAGCACAAGTGACAATGGACGGCAGAAGTGGGACAATGCACAATGGCACAAAAGTCCATGGCGAGCAAGTGGTTGCGACAATCAGATGCGTTTCACTTGGTGCTGCACTCACTCTGCCTTGACAGTTTGACTTTTCAGTAACTTGGACTTGTGTCACTGCGAGGAAGAGAAAGGCCCTCACTGCTGTCTGTCCTGTCGGTTGTCATTCTAGTAGATTGCATCTTTCAACCGTCTTTTATCATAATGTGATTAACATGCTTGCACAGCTACTACCACTACCACCACCACCAGCCCAGCAATCTATAGGACTGAAGTGATTCTGCTGCTGCTGGTGATGCAAAGCACCATCGAGTAAGTGAGTGAGTGAATGAGAGTGAACAGTAGCACTAGGACCAGCAAAACAGACTACTGCTGAGGAGCTGTTGGCAGTGGAATCAACGCGAATCACCATTTATCTTTGTTCACCCAATGACATCTTATAAATTTAATTATACTAAACGCTAAACGCTCACTTTCCTGTCTCTAATTCGTACGTCGATTTCGTTACTTCCTTTTTTGCCTTACGTCCTCTTTTCACTCTCGTTCTCTCCCTTTTCTCCCCTTGCCTACTCGGCTTTGGCAAATTTTAAATGTTGGCGCAAATCAAATAAGCAGAATCCCTCTTAGTAGTGGTGCGAGAATTGTATTAGCAGCGCTGGTGCACGCTGCACCCTAATAGTGACGAATTAAATGGATCCAATTTGGTAGAGCATTAGGCCCGTTGCCGCCCGTGCGCTACCACTGAACTCTCCACTCGTTCGATTCTCTGGTGACAGAGCTTCGCTTAATTCGC